AATGCACGTAACCACAAGTAATTAATTAGCTGTGAAAGTAAATGTGTACATACAGGTGAACACCTTGTAGAATGTATTTAGATATTTATTTATTTCAATAAATAATTGACTTTTTTCTGATCTACATTGTAAGCCTTGAATTTCTCGTAAAATTTGTTTATCAGCCTACGTTTGCGCATATTTTGTGATTACTTTAAACTAGTGAACTTTGTTGGATTCAAAATGTAACAAATTTCTCTTAAATGACCTAGCTGATAGTAATAGGCTTAACAAAGGAACGTTGTTCTCTTTCTAATGGTTTTAATATACTTTGCGTTAAAAATCTAGTAAAAAAAACAGAAAAAAAACATCATCTCTAGAATTATATTTCTTAGTAATTATAGATTTTATTTGATGGAAATGAATTCTTGGTAGAGAAAGTATTAACCGAGTATTTCATATCAGAAGATAAAAATTATTTAATCAACTCTCTTGCCCACAAATGCATTATATATTACTTCACGTTGGGTGTATATTTGTTTGTGAACTATTCCGACAATTGCGGAGCTAACAGAACAAGACTTAACAGACGAACTCAGATTCAATTGAGAGGCTTCTTTACCTATATATTATAGTTACATTTTGAAGAGGTGCTATGGTGGGCTAAAATGCACTAGTAAGTTTAACCAGGAATGATGGGGTCTAGGAAGAGGTGTTCAGAATAGCTGAACCCGAATCTGGCTTCGGATGTTTGGCTCTCCTTTGTATTCCAGGGCACTCCATGCTTCAAACAGTGTTCATGCTCCGCTCTTAAGCAAGACCTTTATACACACACTAATAAGATTTCAGAAGCCAAACCTATCTACTCTCCAGCATGAACCTGACGTCACTGTTGCCAAGCATTGCAAGTGCTTTAGGAACACAAGTATTGAACTAGATAGGTAAAAGTTTATACTTCTGACCATTTAGGCGTTAGATAAGAAGGTAGTAATTCGACAAGGTAGTAATCCAATTATACTGATCAGAAAGATGTTGCCTAACCTGATTGCTTAGTCCCAGAGTACTCCTGGTACTTTTAAAACCAACATATCCTGCTACAAATTTTAAACTTTCTACTTCGCGTTCAGTATTTGCATTGGTTTCCTGTTCCATGGCTCAAGAAATAGTTTCCATAAGCACCTGAAGGTCATCTTCATTATAATTAGTATTAAACTGAACAGGTACTTCTTTCATCCTAGCCTGTTCACACACACTTCTACTTACATGAAATACCCCTCTATTTCATCAGAACGAAAACGTTCGGATGATGTTCCTGATACTTTAATATCAGTTATCATCAACTGGTAGAGGATAGTTGTGATATTACTCAAATCCACGAATTTCTGAAAAATACTTTCAAGATAATCTTGGTTAATTCTAGATGTCATGACATAATATATTCCCTTTTCTTTTTCCACATACTTAGACATTCTTTTCAAACGATGAACTGATATTAAAAAACCGACCTGAAAAGGAAGTCTTGCATATTTTCCATCACTTGATATGCACCATTCAATATTTTATTTTACATTCTTATACGAATACCATATGCATTTTTAGCAGGTTTCTTATTATCATTATACAATTTGATAAAACAGATTGTTAATCAGCTCGATAACTTTATTTATGTTAGTAATTCAAGAAAGTGATAATAGATAGGTTTAAAAATGTAACATCATAAGCACGGTAGTACTTGTAGTAGAAATGGGTTAGCTGTGTAATATGCGCAATACAAATTAAAATCTCAAGCACACTACAAACAGCGTGTAAACAAAGTTTTATAAGCACTTTACACACAATGTTGAGTACAAACGAACTATACTATAACAAGCCAATAAAAGAACTTGTGAACGTCGGTAAAGTCAAAACAAAAATTTTACAAACCCACAAATTTGTCAATCTGACTATCTGACTGACTGACTAACTTACGTTGTTGGAAAGGTATATCTCTCTCCTGCTTGGCTAGATAGAAAAAAAGCTATAGCACAAATATCAGCAAAAGCCAGGAGATGTCGAGAGAGGTAGCCCTAAGAAAAGCTACAATAAGAATAGTCCTAAAATCCAATTACTCTCTAGACTTAGTACCAAAAAACTCTATGAGCCATCGTTCCGCTAATTCCAACTTCGTTTTTTACATTTAACTTGGGTCCAATTATAGACTTGAATCGAGTCTTATCAGTTGCAAATCTTTTATAAATACTCAACAAATTTAAGATTTTCCAAAAATCAGCGGTTTTGATATTATTCGTTTAGCCCACCCCTCACCAGTCAGATAGCTATAATGTCTCCCGTAAGCAAAGTATGGCTAGTGAAGCTTCTTGTCTCACTTCCGACATCAAACACCTCTTTTTGATGTCATGCATTTCGTTACAGTCACGTAATTTGATTACGTACCTGTATCTGTACTTGGTTGCTGAAACAAAGTTTACAATAGATAAATTTTGCAATATACACCTTTCATTTAGTCTGAACGCTTACTAAGTTAGAAAAAGCACACGAAATTGGAATGGGTAGAGCGATGTCCACATACACTATGAAATGTCACTGTGTCAAAAACCACAGAGTGTTTTAAGGTTAGCCGCCCATTCCTACCTTGTTTCCTTAGTTTTGGTATTCCCATTTCTACTTACTAGTTTTTTATTTACATATTTTTGCACTTTTGTAAATATTTTCAGTGCCTTACTAGCGTCCTGTCTATCGCTACCCATAACTGCAAAATGTTTCCAAGATAAATTGTGTTGTATTTTAAGTTATCCTTGGTTCTCTTCTAAAACACCAGACCAGTTTCTTTATAATACCTGTGCCACAAAGCAGAATCAGTCGATAATCCAAAGAGAGTTTCTTCAACAGCTTTATCATATAAGGAATGTCAGAGAAAGAAACACTAACTTTGGTTGGATGGATTAGAGAAGCTGGAATTTTATGGAGACACATTAAGCTCACTTTGCAGACCGCGATTTTTTTTCCACTTAAGTTACATACACTAAGTATAATATGAAAGCCTGTTTCTCAACTTCTTGTATCACCTCCAAAAGAGTGTTTTTTTTCCCGAAGGTGTCATCAAGCTGGAAGTAGACTCGCTGGTTCCAATTCATAGTGAGGCCCCTCACCATAACCAAAGTAAGTTGTACACAGGGTCCAAACACCTTGTCTTCACTTGGATCACATACAACACGTGAATCAACTTTCATTTCATCAAATAAAAGTATGCAGAGCTTCTCAAAATTCGAAATTAATGCTACTTTGTTTGTCATAAAACGATGTGAGTGAGAAATCAATGCTGGTGTACAAGTAAAACGTTTGCCAGTTTTTTTCATGTATTAAGACAAGACAGTGTGTAGCACCTGGAACAAAGCATCCTGTCTACTTTATTCGAAACAGTTCGGATGCTTATAGCAAAATCGAGGTCTATTCCCCCCAAACCAATTTGTTTTCCTTTAAAAAAATGTATTTGAGCTGGTGTTAAACTCTCACATTCACTTAAGGTTCTTTTGCTTCTGTCAGATTATTTGATGATACTTTTTTCCTTCGGTTGTTAATCCTCAAACCACGAAGTTTTGCTTGGAGTCGGAGTTTTCTTTTTGAAAACCTTGGTAGTCAGTTTTGTTTTGTTTTAAGTCTAGCACGTAATCTCAAAATTTGTATATCAGTACAAATTTCAGAATCTCAGAACAATTTGTATACTTGCAAAGTTTCTTTATAATAGTTGTAGATTCATGTTTATCAGTCTGGCAGCAAGAAAATATAGGTTAGTTCAAGTATTCTTCTGTTATCTTCTATATACTTTTCTTCTCATACCTACGCTTTCGATTTCAGTTGCTATATCATCGAATAAAAGTTTGACAATAAGCAAACTTTTTATGGCTATGCGTCACTTTTACGTTTCTGTTTTCGATAAAGATTCATTCGTTTCACTTTCATATAAATATCAAAGAAATCAATAGAACAACTCCAGTCATTGAAATTGTCTGTTCGACGGAAAACATAAACCCAAGATCTGAGTTAGATTTCATTTTTCGGAAAACGATGGAAAGAGAATCCATTTTTTATAGACTTTTCGATTTTTA